TCCACCACCAGAGGATCATCAATGACGGGGATCTGTAACCCAGTGGCCATTAGGAGGTCTCGGTTCTGGGTCATTAGCACCACACCTCCTGTTGAATGCGATCCCCTCCGAGTAGCCCCATCCCAACCACAGATAACCCCTGGCATCTCGTCTTGGTTCAAACGGTGGGCCGCCGCAGCAGCAGGGACCGCGCTAGATTTATCAACCGGGAGGCTTATCCACTCCTCGTATTGCTGCGTGAACTGGCGCATCAGTGCATCAACTATATACTGCTTGCCTTCAAAGACCACCCAATTACGAGATCGCCATATACGCCAGAGGACGGCCACAACAGCCATGAATAGAGCAAGGCACTGGATGAGAGCCATGACCTTCTTAAGAAACAAGGGAAAAGAATGGCGCGGCAGTCCCTCCCCGATATGCTCTAGACCCGCAGCACCCCATAGTGCTCTGGCTACCTGGCAATCCAAAAACAGGTGTTCCATAGTCTCTTTGTCTTCCCAACAAACCGGGCAGCGAGGATGGACCACGATCTTTCTTTCTAGCAAGGCCTCTGCTGTAGGAAGGATTTGATGAAAAATCTGCCAGAGAAACACCTTTAATTTCGGCGGGATGTTAGCCTCCCAAAGGCGGATCCAGCTTTGTCGATCCATCCAGTCTACCCCAGCCCTCCAACGGCCCCTGCGCCTGTCCACGGCGACCGCCAGATGGTAAGCAGATTTCACCGAAAATTCACCATTTGCCGTGTCATGCCAGATGAGCCTATCCTCCACATTCGCACAAGGGAGAAGAATAGCCTTAATAATACGACAGGTAGCAGGGTCAAACCATTGGTTAAGCTTGAGGTCACACCAGCGACCTTCCCCTTGACAAATAAGCTCCGAAACTGGGGGATCCCCTCCTACTGGCTAGATTAGTGGGTTATATCGAAGAGGCTCAAACTGATTCTGGGGAACCCAAGTAGAGTACAACATGGATGCCGCACGACCATTCCCAATTTGCCATCGAAGCCCCATCTCTAAGAGTTTTCGCCCGTGAAGAATACTTTGCCAACCCCATGAGGGTCGAGAGCGAGCCTTCGCATTGAGGAAATGGCCGTTAGGGAAGTATTTCCCTTTGTAAACTTGGGTAAGCAAGGAGTGGGGCTCCAGGAGGATACGCCAGCCAATCTTAGCCAAAAGGGCTTGATTAAAGTGTTCAAACCGTCGGAAGCCCATCCCCCCATCATGTTTACTCCGGCACATGTCCCGCCAAGATACCCATCGGACTTTCGAATGATTATCACCATCTCCCCACCAGAAGCGGGCAACATGCTTGTCCAGAAGGCGGCACAGGGCCAGAGGCAGCTTTAAACAGGACATCACATGAAGGGGTAAAGCCATGGCCACCGATTTTATCAAGGTCTCTTTAGCCGCCCAGGATTAAGTTCTCCGCTTCCATCCCTGCAGGCGTTCCAGGAGTTTCTCCTCTAAGTAACGGAAGGTTTCCATTTTCGATCTTGCTATCAGGGATGGGAGCCCAAGGTATTTATCATGGACCCCGACTGCCCCTACCCCCATAATCGCGGCTAGGAATTCCTGGTCCGGTATCGTAATATTTTGACTGAAGCACACCGCTGATTTTGCCAGGTTCACTCTTTGGCCACTCAGTTCCTCATATTCATTCAAAACTTCGATTAGATTTTCACATTCTTGGAGCGTTCCATGCAAGAATAAATATGAGTCATCAGCAAAGAATAAGTGCGAGATCTTCGGGGCTCTGGGAGCCACCTTCAGGAGAGCCGCAAACCCCTCTGTGCATAGCACAAATAAAAGGGGCGACAGGGGGTCTCCCTGTCGAAGTCCCCTGGAGGGAGTGAAGTAGCCAGACGGAGAACCATTCATCATCACCGTAAAGGATGTACACCGAAGACACTCCTGAATCCAACCCCTCCAGACAGAATTAAAACTCATCTTTTCCAAAACCGTGAGGAGAAAAGTCCATTCGACTCTATCGTAGGCCTTTTCCATGTCAACCTTCAGAGCCATGTACCCTTTCTTCCCACGTTTTTTGATTTTCAGGTAATGCATAAGTTCATGTCCGAGGAGAATATTTTCGACAATCTGTCTTTCTCGAATAAAAGCATTTTGACCAGCTGAGACAATCGTAGGTAAAATACAGGCCAGCCGCTCAACCAAAATTTTGGTTATAATTTTGTACACAAATTGGCATAGGCTGATAGGACGCAATTGCCTCATTGATTCAACATTATCCACTTTTGGGATTAGAGTGAGCCAGGTATGATTGAAACTACGAAGCATCTTCCCCCGTTGAGAAGAACTAGCAGACAGCTTCAATCACTGAAGGCCCCACAATATCTCAAAAGGATTTGAAGAATTTGCCCGTAAACCCATCCGATCCCGGTGCCTGTTTTGATCCCATAGCAAAAACTGTCTTACGCACTTCCTCCGGGAGTACAGCCGCAGTTAAGGTATCGTTCATAGCAGGAGTAACATTTTGGTCAATGGGCAGAGAAAAGACACGATCTCTCATATTAGGGACCTGATTTTCAGAAGTGAAGAGGTGACGATAGAAATTTGTCGCAACCTCTGCTTTCCCCTTCTCATCAGTGACCCAATCCCCATTATCAGTTTGGAGCCCAGCTACAAAGTTCCTTTTTCATCGGGTTCTAGTTACTGTGTGGAAGTACGAGGTGTTTTTGTCACCCTTTTTGAGCCAGTGGACCCTAGATTTTTGCTGCCAATAAATCTCCTCTGCTTCCCACTGCCGACTTAATTCTATTTCCAGCTCACGGATCTCCTCCCAGTTAATCGGGTGGATATTCTTGATTCGATCAATTTCGCCTTGCAGTGTACGGATGTTCCGCAGAGAATTCGTGGTCCCATCTCTACTCCAGTCATAAAGAAGATGACAGAGCTTTTTGAGCCGTTCCCACAGGCGAAACATAGGGGTCCCTTCAATATTCTCTTGCCATACATAGGCAACCATCGCCCGCACCTCCGGATTATCCGCCCATCGAGCATCAAAACGGAATAGAGGGCGACTCTGGCGAGTATAGGGTTTGTCTGATAACAAAAGAGCCCGATGGTCCGAAACTTGATCCGTAAAATGTTTAATCAGAGTTTCCGGGAAGCGATCCTGCCACGATTGGGAGCACAGGGCCCTATCAAGTCTTTCACGAATACAGGCCGCCCCCATTCTTTTATTCGTCCAAGTGAAAGATTTTTTCATTTGTTGACCACCTATTTGGTATACACTTTTGAAAACCTCAAAATATTAGAGTTGGACAAATTCCACAGGTGTTAGGTTTAGATACCCAATGAAGCGCTGAAATCCATAATCTAAATGACCTATTTATATATATTTGTATATTTAATTTTTTTTAATTATGAATATTTTTCATAAATTTAAATTTTCACAACAAGTATTTGTACGTTTAGACATGAAGTAAATGGAATCAAAAGTCCAAAAAGTACTTAAATATTTGAGGTCATTATAATAGTTTTGAACTATCTACATACATCAATGTCAGCTCTTGACAACCAAAACTATTTTTTGAAGTTTTTTGGAAATAGTTAATATTTACGAATGGATAGCATTAATAATTTATTATTTTTAATTGCTACATTTTAATATTATTGCTGGCCATAAATTTTGAACCAAGTATGTTTGAATTTTATCCTTCTATATTATAACGAGGTTGATCCCCTAGGGATTCTTATTACTATTTTATTGGATAATTTTCTTAGTATCATTTGAAGGTAATAGAAAATCAAGTTAATAATATCGTCAATATATATAAAGCTGAAGTAAGTTTACTGTTGCATAAAAACTTATTTTTTGATATCTCAAATTTAATTAAATCACAATTTAGTCACTATTATGTACATTTTGCATTTTGATACCCCAAATTTAATTTTAATATAAAATCATTGAACAATTATGTTTTGGTATCTACATTTTATGATGTTTTCGTACCTACAATTTTTTTAAATTTACATATTGGTCCAATGTTTAGATTTCACTTGAATCCATGAAAATCCATACTCAACTCATACACATTTAGATAATGGAAGTAAATATTCATACCCTACCCAAACCCTTCCAAACCCACATATACACCACTCATACCCTACTCATAATCAATGGGTCAACTTGGGTTTACTGTTTAGGTATATATCATTTACTAGCCAAAATTTTTAAAATTGGATGTTCACCGCCATATATCTCTTCTCAGTCAATATCATATTATCAAGTAAATATTACTAACAAACTTGCTAATAAAAAATTATGTTTAGACTAATAATACTAACAAAACACCATAACGGGCAACATAATACATGCCAATAGGCCATCTCCGCCCCACCCGCGACAAGGCGCGTCATCCCCACCTAGTATCTTATAAAAATACATGTGCAAACTATCCTCTAAATGTTCAAAAATGATAACCAACAATAAGTTAGAATTGTCTGATAAATAAAGTGCCTATGAATTAATTACCCATAATATCACTGACCACGACAAGTACCACAAATATTACTTTCAAATCACGCAGAGACTATATAGATTTAAGTCATTTCAAATATAAATAATACAAAAAAAATTCATTCGACCATCGGGTCGGGTAAAAGCTAGTTATTATTATTCTATAAAAAGTACTACAAGAGTGTCTATTGTTTCATGCGAATGGAAATCCTTCTAAAATAATCCAATCACCCATAGTAGTTTAAAGCCTCCATATGTAGTAAGTTAATAAAGCTTCATTCAAAGGTCTCTCAGCCTTCTTCTTACTTCTGGCAAAAAATGATGTTTTTTTTTGGGTAGAAAGAGTGACGCCTTAGCGTCTAATTTGTATTAATAGTAATCTCACGATCATGTACAATGCCCATGATATCGTGTAACAACCAATACCCAAGGTTCGGGTCGCACACACTGAAGTGGTGTGTGCCAAAATTAATAGAGTGACCCAAACTAGCTAAGAAAACAACAGCAAAATTACCATCTCTAAACACATGATTGATCTTAACTTCCCAATCACGGTTAAGGACAAAAAATTGCCTAGCAAGGATCCCATGTCTGTGATCATCATCAATGCAATTCTTCGCAGTCTCATTTGTTGTAGTAGAGTCCATGTTGAGGATGACTTTCCTGTGCCCCCTTTCCCAAGCAATCCGTAAGCTTTCGATCGCCCCTTTCAGCTCCGCGCTTGTGATCGTACAGACGTCGAGATTGCAGGTGAAAGCGTCCAGGCAGCGTCCCAGGTGGTCACGAAGAAGACCGCCAACAGCTGCTCTTCCAGAGGGTTGGATTACCGAGCCATCTGTCTGGAGCTGGATCCATCCAACATCAGGTGGTTTCCATGTAATGCACGCATTCTGGTGCTATCTTGATGTTTTCCAACAATCAAAGGTGTCTCTGTGCTTAACTTGGTGAATGATAGTCATTCAGGCATCCATCCTGCACTAGAGGCCTTTTTCATTGAATGCTTTCCCATCCATAGCTTCTTCATTCCTCTGCTTCCACAAGTTCCAGTAGATGACTCCAAAATCACTCCAGAATCCTCATGAAGGAGGTTCTCTAGGAGCCAGTTCTGGAAGCAGCCATCAATGTTTCTGTTTACTAGCTTCTGCCGAAACCTCTCCCATGTTTTCCTTGCTTTCTCACATTTATGAGTATATGGTCAGTCGTTTCCTCATTCTCCTTGCAGTGATTGCAGCTACTGTCCGTGGTAATTGTCCTTATTGCACGTTTCTTGTTGGTGAAGAGTTTGTCATGAAGAACCAGCCACAAGAAGTGCTTGATTCTGCTCGATTCTTGCCATTTCCATAAAGCTTTCCAGCTAGTCTCTTCCTCTTCTTCCTCCATGTTTGCAGCAAGGCAGTATGCAGACTTGAGTCGAAATCTTCCATCTCTTTCAAGTCCTCATATCATCTTGTCCTCACCAAGTTCAGGCCTAGGTTTCTCCATACCTGCAATCAATAGAAGTCTATCATTAGGCAGGAGGTCATTCAAAATGTCCCAGTCCCACTCACCTTGGTTTGTAATCCAGCTGGCCACTGGTGACTTGAGTTCCTCTTCTGTGATTTCTCTTGTCAGGAAATCCTCAAGCACCATTCCATTCTCGATCCATGGGTGTCTCCAAAAGCTTGTTGACTTCCCATTCCTAATACTCCAGCAAGATGTTTCCTTCATAAGTGGCATTGCTTTGAACACAGCTCTCCATAGGCTGGAGTGATTAGTTTTCTTCATAGAGAGAATTTCCCCATTATTGTGCTTGTAATACTTTGCCTGCAGTACCTGCAGCCAGAGTTCCTCATCATTGTTCATCATCTGCCATGCCAGTTTTATCATATATGCTTTATTAAGACTGCGGGCAGATCTGAGACCAAGCCCTCCAAGTTTCTTAGGCATGCATATTTTCTCCCATGACACCAGGTGAGGTTTACCTTTTCCTTGCAAGGGATAAAGTCCTTGCTTTCCAGGAAGTAAGCTTCTGGTCCATTCTATCTAACACATACTTATAAGTACTTTTGGTTATCCTGCCATGAATGACAGGAACACCAAGGTACCTTTCAAGATCGTTTGTTTCCTGGATCCCAAGTCTGTTGCAGATAGTAAGACGATCAGAATGCTTCACATTCTTAGAGAAGAAAGTCCTAGACTTTTCTTTGCTAATTAGCTCACCCGAGGCAGCACAAAGTGACTCCAGACATTGCATCACACAGTCAGCTTGTGCTAAGGTAGCTTCAACAAATAAAATAAGGTCATCTGCAAAGAACAGATGTGAAAGAGCAGGTCCCCAGGGGATAGATAGATCGGTTTCCATTTCCCATCCTTGACCTCTTTCGGGATAGAATGACTAAGCCTTTAAATGCATAAAGTAAAAAGGTAAGGGGAGAGAGGACATCCATGTCTGAGGCCTTTGGAAGGTCTGAATCCTTCTGTTCCCCCCCCCCATTCCACAACACTTGGAAGGATGTGGTTGTCACACAAGACATGATCAGTCTGATGCAGTCAGGTGTGAGTTTCACAGCAAGCAGGGTTTCCTCCAAAAAGATCCAGTCAATCCGATCATAGGCTTTGGCCAAGTTAATTTTGAGAAGCATGTTTCCCTTCTTTCCACTTTTCCTGGACATAGAATGAACAGTTTCCTGCAAAATAATGGCATTGTCAGTGATATGGCATTTTGGGACAAAGCTGGACTGGTTGGGGTGAACAAGCTTTGGGATTAGCTTCTTCAAGTTGTTTGCAATGCTTTTGGCCACAACTTTGTACCCATCATTGCAGAGGCTGATGGGTCTGAAATGGTTCATAGATGTTGGGGATTCCACTTTGGGAATGAGAGCCAGTAGGGTCTCATTGATGCTTTGGATCCTCTCTGGTTTGTTAAAATAGCTGATGATGAAAGAAGCAAATTCCATCCCAATAATATCCCAGCATTTTTGATAGAATAGAGCGTGGAAGCCATCCTTTCCCGGAGCCTTAAGTCCACTCATTTCCATAATAATTGCTTTGATATCCATAGGATTATGGGTCCTTCCAACTGTTCTAAGAAGAAAATCATCAACATTAGGGAAGTCAGCAGTGATCTTGATCCTATTGTTTAGAGTTTCACTTGTAAACAGCTTGACAAAGTGTCCCCTTGTCGTGTCTTGAAGCATGTCAGGGTTTGAGATCCAGCTCCCTTGGTCATCCTTCAAACTAATGATTTTGTTTCTTTTCCTTCTACTGAGGGTACAGTTATGGAAGTAGCGTGTATTCATATCCCCTTTGACATTCCAGTTGACCCTAGCCTTCTGCCTCCAAAGGATCTCCTCCTGCCAAAGGGTTTCTTCCAGTTCTCCCCTGATATCCTGTTCCTTCACCATTGAGCTCCTCGAAGGCTTCCTCTCATTGAGCATTTCCAATGATTTGAGGGAGTTAAGGAGTTTTCTTTTCCTCTTGAAGATGTTTTCAAAGACATCTTTGTTCCATTTTTGCAGATCATCTGAAAGGGTTTTCAGAGATGGTAGAAAGTCACATCCTTTTCTCCATGACAGTTGGAGGAAAGGTTGAAAATCCTTGTGCTCTAGCCAAGCAGCAATGAACTGGAATCTTCTATCAGTCTTCCTTTTACCCTGAAGAGAGGAGGTGGTGGTGAGAATTGGCCTATGATATGATCTCATCCCGGGGAGGTGGATCACGTTGGTGTCTGGGAAGGTTTGCTGCCATTCCAAACTGCACAGACTTCTATCCAACCTCTCCTTGATTCTAGTTGAACTAGTAAACCAAGTAAAGTGGGGTCCTGTGAATCCCAGATCAATGAACCCACACTCATCAATGCATTCATTAAAGTATCTAACTTTTGCAAAGTTGAATGGAGCCCCTCTTGTTTCTCTGATGGCTTGGTGATGGAATTAAAGTCTCTAGTAAGGAGCCATAGATCACTTGTGGTGGTCTCAATGACCTTTAACCTTTGTCAGAGCTCCCTTCTGTCATGCTCATTAGGACTCGCATAGATGGCAGTCAGGAGGTAGGACACACGCCCTCCTGTGATGCACTTGAGGTGGACGAATTGCTTGTGCTTATCAATAAGCTCCAAGTTCAGGTTGCTGCTATTCCAGAGAACCCATATTCCTCCGCTAAACCCCACTGCACCCGAGATTCTCCAAGTTTCAAATCCAAAGGTCTTGATAACCTTTTCTGCTTCCTCCCCACTAATTATGGGCTCAAGGATGCAGGCAACATCAGGGCTATAGCTAGCCTTGTAGAACTCAAACGTAGAAAGAAATTTGGGGTGTTGAGCACCCCTACAATTCAAGGAGAAGTTCTTCACCATAGAAAAGGTAAGAGTCCTTCCCTGCCCCCACTGGTCAAGAACCAGGGTTTTCGACGGCCATCACCGTCGTTTGATCCTCAAGAGCACCAGTGACTGCTGCATCCATTGGTTCATGTACATTTTCTGGCCAAGTGGCTTTTCCTTCATTTCTGAATCAAAATCGATCTTCCTTGGCTGAATCCAAAGCAGTCAAATCGGGATTTTATGTAAAATCGAAAATGGGGGTAAAATCAGAATCGTAAAATCGAATCGTAAAATCGTAGGATTTTAAGGTCCATATAAAAATGAAGACGAAATAATATTAGTAAGGAAAATCATGAATAACACAAAAGCACATAACACTTACAATGATAATTTTTTAAGCTTAATGTTAAGAGGTGGTGAATTGATGATGATTAATACGTTGATGTGAATCGATTATAATCAATGGTGATTAGTGTGAGAGAACTAGATGATGTTGGTGAAGGAGAAGAAAAAGAGGCATAATTTTGCAAATTCTGGGGGAAATATGTAAAATTGACTCTAAGATTTGAATCGTAAAATCGTAAGATTTTAAAGATTTTAAGGATTTAAATCGTGAATAGTGTAGGCTTTTAAGGTCCATAGATTTTATAGTGAAATCAGAATCGGAATAGGTAAGTAAAATCGTAAAACCGTAGGATTTTAGGATTTAAATCGGGATTTTGACTACTCTGGCTGAATCACCTATGGGGCTTGGGTCTCAAGTAACCGTTTATTGCTTTCCTTGGTCTCCTTCTCTTAAGTTGGTGGCCTCATTTTAGGTTGATGTCCATTCCTAGCATCGGCTGTCGTTCCCTTGCTTGCTCCAGTCCTTCCTAATGTTGGAGGTGTCTGGTGGTTAGCGGGTTTGATCAGCTTAGTCGATCCAGCAGGGGATTTGTCCCATTTCTGTACTTTTTTCTCTGTGCCATTCTTGATAATGGGGTTAGCCTTTGCTGTGGTTGGATTTGATATCATACCAGTTACCTGCTTGGGCATTTCTGGGGGGGATTTCTGGTACTCCTTTCGGGACACTGTTTTTTTTATTAAGTTTCTGGCTTTTGCTTCATTCTCCTTTTGTCTTTCCATTCTCCTTTTTCCCCTGCTTATCTTTATCCTGTCGCCCTTCCTTGGTTTTTTCCCTCTTCTGATTTTCAGCTTGATCTTCTGGCTGTTTGTTCATCGTCGAAGCTGATGGAATTGAGGTCTCATTAGTTTTACCTTGATCCTACTCAGTAGCTACGATCTCTTCCTCTGCTTCCAATGCGCTAAACGGGATCTAGTTTGTGTAGCAACTTCTTCCCTACTTTCTCCAGTGTTCTTGCTCTCTGCCTTCCTAGCTTTCTGTTTGTTTCCTTTTCTTCTTGGGTGTGTGGCTAGCATCCACGACCCATAATCCTCAAGGATCTCTGGGCGAATCACAGGGCTGGAGGCTGTAGCAGCATCATCTTTCATGCTTTCTTCTGTTTTCCGATTCTCTTCCCCTTTTTTTCCAGGGCAATTGTCAGCAACATGCCCATAGTGTCCACAATCAAAGCACACAATGTGCAGCCCTTCGTACTCCACCTTGCACACTCTTCTTTTAATTCTGTATTTGGACACAAATTTCTTCCTCGGATCGATTTCAACACAAATCCGGGTGTAATTCCCTCTAACACCATTAGCCATGTTGTAGTCGATCTTCTCAACCCTGCAAAGCTTGTTGCCAATATCGAAGAGGATTTCTTCATCAAAGTATGCAAGCGGCAGATGAGGTAGCCTTACCCACACCACCGTGCGGTCGATTGTGTCAAAATCAGGGTCAAAGTCGAGTGCCACGGCTCTTCCACAATGTAGTGGTCTTCAATCATCCATGGCCCTCCAAATAGAGCTCGATCATGATCGATTTGCAATTCGAAGGATGCCTGGAAATAGCCATTGCCAATATCGCCCACTTTCACTCCTCCCGTTTTTGCCCACAAGCGCAAAACTCGTCTTTGGACAAAAGCAAATGGGAAGTTTCGCCCAAGGACTCTGAACGTGATAGCTCGTCTCCATCTGTTGCAAATTTTCGCGTTCGTTCTTTTCTTGATTCGAATTGTCGGGTATTCCGGGTCGTCCTCTGCTTCGTCAGTTTCCGATTCATCCGACATCAGCTCATCCCCTTCAAGGATGTCGATGGGTGGGCAGTTCCCCAGGAAGGATTCCCTGTAGCTGGCCCTCCCTACACCTGCTTCTTTCGTCTTGTCGAGTGGTGAGGTGGTTTGCTTCTCACCAATGTCTTCAGCCGAGTTCATATCATCATCTGCCGGTTGTGCTGTGATAATCTCAAATTCCATTCCGATTTGCCCAGAGAACTTCGTGCTAGAGCTCGCTTTCGCCTTCTTACTTAGTTGCATTGGCGTGGTCGACGGGGATCCATCCGGTGGTTTCAAACAATGGTCTTCCCTCGGAAAGGGGGGGGGGGGTTGACCCTCAACGGTCATAACCGGGAAAAAAGGGGAGGAGAGAGGGCAGAGCGTTTACTCTCTTTGATGAAACACTCTCTCTCTCTCTCTCATACATAACCAAAAGGGAGAGCGTATATACATTCTTGAAATTCATATGCCTTTTTCCCCATAATATGCTTAGACCATCAAATTTGCAGCTGTGGTTGCCTTGTGCTTCAATAAAGAGGCCTCCTTTTTTATCCCAAGCGCAGCTTGAGATCCTTCCACCCGCTTTCCCATAATCTGGTTACCATGAGAAAGATAACAAGTGGTTTGTATCTACATGCATGGAAGGAACATGAAATCGACTCCAACAATTGAGTATGTGAAATTCCATACAACTCAGTACTTTTCATCGTAGAACGGTCAAACTATACTAGATAGTTTGTTTTGGAGTTGTCATTCTAAATTTTTACTATCGGTCGCTCCGAATGATCCATACCCAAAATGTGTTTTATGTACTCTTGGTGTAATTTGTTGTATTTTTATTTTGGTAATGCATGAAGAGACACCCTAACTTTCATTCAAAACCAATCGGGGTATGGAAACTCCCTAACAGTCATACAAAGTCCAATGAGATAACATAGGATCAGAGTTCGGGATCAAATGAAAACCAAAGGGAAGAGAGAGACCCCGACTAGCAAGATAATCAACACAAACATTGCCCTCACTGTAAATATGGGAAACTTTCACACTCAAAGGGTGAGAACAGAGCTCTCGAAAACGGGAAATGTAGGCCTCATAGGGATGGTCTTCGGACGTCATGCCGTGCAACAGCTGCATCGCACACTGGAATCCAATTGAACGTGGACACGGCGATGGCCAGCGTCCCAAGCCACCTGTAAACCTTCAACAACGCCTCTCAACTCAGCCTGGGTTATGGAGCAGATACCCAGGTTAATAGCGAACGCCGGCAAGTAACGTCCTAAGTGATCACGAATCAGGCCACCAGCTGCTGCGTGGCCTGATGAAAAGAGAACAGAGCCGTCAGAGTTGAGGCAAACCCACTCGGGAGGAGGTGGCTGCCAATGGATAAGCTCCTCCGTTCTGGCAGGTGGACTAGGCATACGGATGAGCCTGTCCTGGTCCAGAGCTTTCTTCACTACTGGTATCCAAGATCGGACCTGTTGTATGAAGGCTTCAGGTGGGACAATCTTTCCTGCAAAGATAAGGTTGTTTTTGGACCGCCAAAGGGCCCAGTAAATAATACCAAAGTCGAGGCTGATGTGCTGATGTCGGAGGTTCCCGAAGATCCAATCCTATTGAGTACTGCCAAAGAAGCGCTGGTGTTCAGAAAGAGGGGTTATCTACATGTAATTTGTTGTATTTCAATCTTAGATGACAAGATAAATAGCACGGGCAAAAAAGAAAATTGCCACTTATTATTGTAAAGATTCATAGAAATGTTTGCATTGTCGACTAAAAGAAGTGAAGATTGTAAAGAGAATTATAGAGATGGGTATAAACCTAGAAGAAGATGAAACCGATAACATTTCAATATATGATCTATGTTGGAAAAAGGGCCATAATTTTGTTATTCTTGACATGTATTCTAGTTAATTTTGTATTAAGTTAATGATACTGTTTAATCTTTTTGTTTTTTTTTTACAAATCTATTATAACATCCCGAACCTTTTTCCGAGCAAGATAGTGTCCGCTTTGAGCCTCGACCCTCACGGTTTTCGACTTGGAGTGCAATTCAAGGTGACTTCTCATAAGGTCACTCATCCTTGTTGTACTCTACACCGAGCACGTTTAACTTCGGAGTTCTCACAAGAACCCTTCCATTTCACCCCAAAAAACATATTTTCAGTTAAGGCCAGTTTCCTAATTATGAACCATGAATCTCTCCCGTGCTTTGTCGATGTAAGATTCGCCTAAAATGTTACATCTATCAAATACCATTGAGTACGAACAAACAACATAATTAGATTCTAATGCCATCGAGTATTTTTGGTATTGGTTCCCCTGATATTTACAAAATCAATAGTTTATAAATAAGTTCTCCCAAGAATGCATACTTTTTTTTGTTACTCCTACACATAACACACTTCCACTTTCCTTGTTATCGAAATTAACTTCTAAGTAACTAATACTATCGGGAAAAAAATGGACTAAAACTGTCGCGGCGAACTATCCACCGTCAAAACCCGGTCTACCGGGGTCATCGGCTCCGGTGACGGCCTATTCAACTGGGTGTTCTCGTCCAGATGCATAGGACTTTCCGGCGAATCCATAAACTCCAGGTTACAATACTGCTGCACAACAAGCACCGACGCCGTCGCCGCGAAATCCGACGACGCCAACAAATCTCCAATCGCCCCCAATTCAGGGCACTCACTCCAGTCCGTCAACCCCGCCGTCAACGGCGAAGTCATCCCTTGTCCCCTCCCCACTATAAACAGATCGTGCCCTCTATCCATCGACCGAATCGCCGCCACCGTCTCCTCGCCGTTACTCGCCACGATCTCCGAATACGACACCGAATCGTCGTTCGAATTCGCCATTTTGAAATCCCTAATTATCTCCTCGTCTAGCTTGTTCCTACCTCGATAATCCAGCCCCGCCGCTCCCTCCACCGCCAGATCCACACTCAGATCTCGACTTTCAGATCCGCGACGGCTGCGACGACCGCCTCCTGCTGGTGGTGGTGCTGCTCCGGCGGCGGTGGCGTTCTCCTCGGGGATGAACCTCACGACGGTGACGAAAATCCCAGGGTGCTCCAACATCCTCCAAGCGTACGACAGCGCCTCCCGATCATCGGGCCCGCCGAAGAACAACACCGCCACGTGGTGCTCGACCTGATTCGTCCCCGTTGCCATTCGCGATCCGCTCCACCCGCGATCCACCAAGATCCCGACGGAGCACGGGGCGTGAGATAAGACATTCTGATTCACCAATCGAAACGCGGGATTCGTCGCCTCCATCCCTCCGTCCACCGTCTGCTGCTTGTGGAAAGGTATGATCACTATGGCCACGCGCTTGTCCTCCGCCAGATTGCAGATGTCCTCGTGCATCGTCGAGTAAGGGGAGATCGCCGTCAGCGGCTGGACGGAGACGCAGGCGGCGTGCTGCTCGTAGTTCTCGAAGGCGTTGATGATGTGGTCGGATTGGGCCTGGGTCTGGTTGGCGGTGGCGGCCCGGCCCGATTTGCGTGTGTTGTGGACTATCAGCATGGCGGAGGCCCGGCCCGTGAGCTCGACGAGGTGGAGGACGTAGACGCAGAGTGGCGATGTCTTGCTTGGACAGGAAGCTTCGAGGATGTTGATTATGGTGGGGACGTTTCGTGGTGTGTGGACGCAGACCAGGATCCGGAGCTCGGCGTCCGGCCGGGACATCTGCAGTGTTCGACGCTTGTAAGGGATGAACTTTCTCGCCGGACGGTAGACTATGGTCACGATTGGGGTGATCGTGGCCGTCATGACTAGTGCTACTATCACCATCATTGCGAATGATTCGTCGTCGAGTACCTGCAAAGGATTGATTAAGTAACAATTTTAGCCAATAAACATATGATTGATGGTTAAGAATTAAGACTAGACTTATATCTTATATATATGTGATGATGTTTGTTTTAACCTTTTGGTCTTTGCCAACATTGAGGACGATCATCTCAACGAGTCCCTTGGTGTTCATGAGCAACCCAAGGGTGACCCCTTCCCGCACAGGCATTTTGTAGAACATGGTGACGATCAACGTGCCGGCGATTTTCCCAGCACAACCAAGAACAATGACGAGGATCAAGTAAGCCCACGTCGCCCCGCCGTGAATCGCGGCGAAATTGGTCTTCAAACCGCTCATGGCGAAGAACAGAGGCAAGAGCAACCCAGAAACAAAATCCTCCAGCTTCTCAATCAAGCTGAGCCCCAGGGGGCCATTGGGGATGACGAGCCCGAACACGAACGCGCCGAACACCGAGTGCGTCCCGATCGCATCGGTGATGAACCCGGAGATCATCACCCCGGTCAGGATCAAGCAGACGTAGAACTCGTTGAAGCTCTCCCCATCCGGTGTCCGCCTGACCATCCAGTCGATCCCCGGCCGGATGACGATGAAGCAGAACAGAACGAACACCGCGCTCGAGACGATGACCCAGAGAGATGCAAGCGAGGCGTCCTCCTGCTCGGCAATGGCGATGGCCAGGGCGAGCATAATCCAGGCGCAAATGTCATTGATCAAAGCGGACGACATGGCGATCCTCCCGAGCTCGGTGTTGATCAGCTTGAGCTCGGCGAGGATCCTTGCCAGGACGGGGAAGGCGGTGACGGAGAGGGCAACCCCGAGGAACAAGACGAAGGTTCCTTGGTTCATCGTCTGTGTGTCCTGGTGGAGCAGGTAGGAGAAGGCGAAGCCGGCGAGAAAGGGCAGGATCATGCCCGTTACGGCTATTGCCAGTGCCTTTTTGCCAGTTCTTCTGAGGACAGACATGTCCATCTCGACTCCTACTAGGAACAAGAAGTAGAGGAGACCCACGTTCGCCATCGTCTCGAGCACCATCACGGACCGGAGAGGGAAGATGGTGTTGGCGAAGATCTTGTTTCGTCCGAGGACCGACGGTCCTAGTATCACACCACCCTGCATATAACTCCCAAGGTAACAAAACGATTTAACTAATTGTATCATCCAATGAATTCCAACTTCTTGATCATGGGGGTTTGAAAATGTTTGATTACCAGGATTTCGGATATAACATGTGGCTGGCGGAAGGGTTTGAGGATGAAGACGAGGATGCGGGTGGTGACGACGACGAGGGTCAATTGGAGGATGAAGAGAGGGAGGGAGTAGTCGAGAGGGTTGTCCCCTTGCCATACGCCATTGGTGGTGATCATCGTCGGCGCGTAGCAGACGATTGTCTCGTCTGTTTGGTTCCCCGCCATTAGTGCGTCCGGAGTCGGCATGTCGATCTTCTCTGTTTTTTTTTTTTTGCCCTCCTGTTTTTATCTATGCTCTAGCTATCTTGAATAATTTTTGGGCTTGGGATCTAACTGACTAAATTCGATGGGCCGATACTAAGAACTCCGCCGTCTGACTTGGTTGAAACCGCCGTGGATGCGTCGTCGGGTGAAGCAAGCAGCATGATAGGCAGGTTGACGTCGGAATGTTTTAGTCGAGAAACAAGGATTAGTGGATGAAGGGAAAAGAGACGACGCAAAATGAGAGGATGCCCGCCCCATTTGGAAAGAGAGGGGGGCTTTGTCATTGTGAGACATTCTGTGGTGAGGAGTCTAAAACAGAGAAATTCACGATCCATCATCCCTCTTTATTATTTGAACAGAGTCCATCTATTGTCTCCATGAATCTATGGGATTTAATTTTCTCCAATATTAATAGAATCACAGTGATATGCATTATATAGATCAGGTTTGATCAAATTATGTAACAACACTGGTTGAGGGGAGAGTTATTGATGATTTGATATGCGTTGGAGGCCTGCAAATTGTAATTTGAATTGGTCATCAGATGACATGTTTTTTTCCCCAGAGGCAATAATTCATAATTGGAGATGGTTATCTTTTTGTTTTTACTTACAAGAAAAACACACGAAAATGATAATGGTTCTATTTGAAATAAAATTGATTCGAAGTACTAGTCACCTTTATCGAATCAGATTACGTAACTAAGCTAAGTTTAATTCATTACTAAAGCGGGATCACACAGACATTAAAAATCTGTTTCTATTAAAAGGTACAAGTTGTTAATTAACCCAGAATGGTATAGTAACCGTTTTTGCATTGGGGACATATATATGATATATTATTTGAAATAAAGCTTGAAAATAAGTTGGTGGATACTACTTAAACTTTTTTTTGTTAATGGCTAATTATTAGTCTAACTTTTTCCACAATTTTTTTATTAGTTAAACCTGTTGAATTACTAATAATTAGCCAAATGTCAACTTTTAGTTAGCAATTTTATTAGTAATATTGATTTGACAACATGATACTAACTTGGAAAAGACACATGGATGTTAATATTCCAAAACTTTAGTATTTTCACTAAGAAAAGAGTTAAAAAATTATTAACGGGAACAGGAAAATGACTAATATTTTATGTATTAAAAAAGATTTGGCCAATTATTAATAATTCAATAAATTTGGCTAATAACAAAGAATGAGAAATTTTTTTGACTAATAATTAATCATTAAGTACTTAAAGTTGGTTACATTCAATTCTTATAGTTTAATATTGAAATAACTCGTGTAATGAGCTAACAAGCTAGCATTCGTTGAGGAATCCGGCTGGAAAAAGTGTTTATATTTGTCTGACAACTCTTGAGATGCTAAAACCAAGGACTCCGAAAAGTTAAAAGAGTTGATCTAGGTAAATGGGATTAGAACCTTGCAGAGCATAAAAAAGATAGACTTTCGCACGACTATGAAGAAAACTCGACGATAGAACTTGAAGTCATGTAAGGGAATATATTTCTCGGTTCCTTTACCAATTAACCTATGTAATAAGCAAGGAGAGCCAATGGGATCCATCTTGTTCTTTTTTTTATATATAAATAAGGCTCTGTTGCAAACTATGATAAATCTAAACAAAAGAAATATTGAATTTCGTGTAAAAATAAGAAAACAAACCACTTTTATTCTCGATGATCGGATATATGAAGAATGATTTTTGGTCCCTTTCGTCTAATGGCTAGAACGTTTTTTCATGTTGAAGACACGAATTCGACTCCCATAAGGGGTATAATCATTGTTGATCATTTATCGAAAGTGTTCCTTCTAAATTTTCTCTTCGGTCACTCTGAAATCTTCATGGAGTAGGGTATGGAATAGTAAATAGATTCCTCTTAGCTTGGGAGACTGTTTTAATTGTTGATGGACCACTTCTCTTATTCAGGGCCTGGTCCTTTCTTTGCGTAACTCTGCTGTAGTTTTCCTTTGAATTTTAGAGCTCCAAAGACTTAAGTAAATTCATACTACCTCGCTCAAAAAATCGAGCAACTTCAGTTAGATGTTCTGCTCGAGGGGCACGGTTGTTTGTACTATATTTCATATCCTCTATTGGTTGCCAAGTTACCTTTTCCATTTTCGAAGAAAGAAATAGTATTATTCAATTGAGGATCTTGAGTACTAGTTGGCGTTTCTCCATCAATGATCCAAGGGGTGGTAAAGCGAAGTTAGGTAGGCTACGCACTCAGTTCGTAGTTTACTATTTACTCCAATATAGGACAAGAATACCGTAAATTGGCTAAGTATTAAAGTGGTTATCAAGGTCGTACTTCTTAGGTCTGGAAACTACTAATTCTTTGTGAATTAAATTGTTATATAGTTGGAGAAGTGAAAATGTTCAACTAAAAAACCTACCATTGCAATTACTTTAAACAATCAAGAGAAAGAGAGAATTTGGAGCTAATTGCCACCTATCATAAAGCATGAGTTATGGAACAAAGAGCTCAATTGAATCCTTCATAGCATCTTATGTCCAAGAATTACAAATGAGGTAATTGAGTCAATGATAATGCATTCTATTGCCCTCCTAGCTAGGTCAAATCAATGGTCATGTAGTTGCCCACCTAGCTAGAGTTTAAGATCAACACACACATAGAAAGGTAAATCAAGATTATACATCCACCCATCTATTCCGATTGATTTTAGGTGTTGACTTGATCAAATTGGATGGTCACCTTCTTAGGTGAAGAACCTAAACATCACTAACACAAATTAAGGTAATAAACGATCATTAAACAAAACCAATTGGACATAAATTATTATGAATTCAAAAATCTCATTCAAATCATACCGATATTCTCTACATTAGGTTACAGGTTATTGCCCCTCAAGTATCTATGGAATTAGAACAATGAGAGAGAGGGAGGGAAGAGAGAGAGAGAGACTTTGGGGAGCAGGGTGAGAGCTCCGGTGAGGTTTCTTCGCGTTTGTTTTGAAGGTACACGACGGACGGGATAACAGCTACCAGCACTCCTCAGAGAAGGTTTCGGCATAGCACGAGCGTTGGGCAAAAGGTGGTCTCAGTCGAAGAGCATCATTTTAAAGACGAGAAACTTCTCAAGTTGCCCGTTAGAGGGGAACAGTTCCGTAGACGGTTCGTTTTCCTGGAGGCGAGTCATGCTCTATGGGTCAGTAGTATCCTTCGACTTCTGAGCACTTTTGATGGACGGACCTCCCGCCCCCGTGAACTTCGGCACAGAGGAAGAAATATTAAGATATGGAAATCAAGGAATGAGCTAGGAGACTTGGTTAAGATTGAGGAAACGAACATGTTCGGACGCAACTTCTATGTTCTCATTCCATTTTCTAAAACCCCAGAGGAATGGGCAAATCTTGTGGCAATTCTGCAGAATTTTTCCTCACCTCAATCGGGTAGCAATTCTAAGCGTGCAGTCTCTGATGCTAAAGTCACTTCGGACCGATCTTTCACGGATGTTGTTAGAGGGGTCCCTTGTCTCCAAATAGGAAAGAGCTCCATCAAGTATCAGGATGAGGTCAGGTTTATTGAAGTTTCTAACAATGGGGTGGAAACTCGCAGGCAGATGCTAAACAAGTGTTTGTGCATAGAGTTTTGTGACGTCGGGAATGTTGGCCTTCCCTTTGAGCTCTGCAACAAGTTTGAGGCGTGGGCTCGCAAGGTTTGGGACCTGGGTGCAGGCTTCCAGTTTACAAGAAAGAAGGGTGATGTGTGGATGCTATTATGTCCATCATACGCGGAAGCAATCAAAATTCAAACGAATAGTCACAAAAAGTTTCAGGGTTTCAACGTTATTATCAATTACTGGAACGAGACTTCAGGAAGTTGCTTTGCCTCTCAAGGGGGCCTGGTTTGGATCCAAGTGTTTGGGGTTCCTTATCATCTTAGAAGCTTTGAGTTATCCAGAAGTATTGGGGACTTTTGCGGCAGATTCGTTGACTTTGACAAGAGTGATTGGCTTGAGCCTGTTTTTTGTGTTAAAATCGAACTGAGTTCATCCATCCCCTCAATGATTCCGATCTCATATGGTGATACCCTTTTCAGGGCTACGATCGTTGTGGTTCCACCGGCACTTGCACCGGTGACCAGGGAATGCCAGAAGACGCTAGAAGTTCTTTCTTCGTCCAGCCATTTGGGGGCTCTCGATCTTCTACATGACTCTTCGGCTCACCCCCCTTCTCGGGAGCACGCATGCAAGGAACTACACTTTCCAAATAAAGTTGATATCAATAATGATATGGAGCATCGCCATCTCGAGATTAGAAACGGGGCCACTACGAAAAGAATTTGGATACGAAAGGAAGGTCCTCTTCCCTGGCTGAATTATTCTCTTTCCCCGCCTGATGCTGAAAATCCAGGGCCTACTGTTTCTTTAGCCCAAGGCCAAACCCAGTCCCAAATACCCCGTGCCTTGCCCGAACCTAGGCCCAAAGAAATTTCGGCCTCCTTCCAACCCTGTCCTAGCCCATACCTACTTGATCCACCTGATCCTATCAACCATTTTGATGAAATCTTAGAAGATATCATTCAAGAAAATCTCTCACCCACTGTCTCCTCAGCCTAGCACTCCTTCAAACATTTCTGAAACTTCCCTTGATGCTGATACGATCTCAAAACCCCTTCCATCCTCAGCTTTGCTTAATCCTTTTTCCCATGATCCTCCTCAAGATCCCCCCATCGAACCTTCCCCAATTCCCCTGAACCTCAATTACCTAACCCTCTCAATCCCTTCACCATCCCTCAACCTTTTCCAAGATTACCTTACCCATACCCCTTCTCCCAGCCTCTCTTCCACCCTTCCCTCTTGTACCTTTTTTTTCCAATCAAGACCAGCCCACTGCCCCTCATTCTAATCCCCCGACCTCGATTCGGTCCGAAATAAGAATGTCTCCAGCCGGCGTCGAGCATAATCCCCTGGCCATAATGGTCGCTTCACCCCTGGACAAGCCTTATTACAAGAAAT